AAGCCCAACTTTGGGAACCAAAGTGCAGTGGTTCCCAAACTTTTCAGCTTTTGACCCACAAAATAACAGTAGTTGAGACCTGTGTCCCCAGCTATTTTTGTATGATAAACATCAGGTCAAACATGGGCATAGCAACAATATTTTTATACTACATTTATCCATTTCAAATACACTAACCTCACTCCTTTGTAACAACTAAGACAAAAATGTAATTAATTCAGGAAATCTTTTCAAGACCCCACCTTGATGTTTCGGAACCCCACTTTGAGTCCCGACCCCAACTTTGGGAAACATTGTGTTATATAACACATTAAATGTTCCACATTTGGTCTATTGTGTTGAGGTATGGAGTAAAGCATGTAAGGCTGTTACAAATCCTGTTTTTGTTTTGCAGAAAAGGGCTATAACAGTTATCGCTCGAAAAAACTACCATTATCCATCTAATACAGAGGAGCCCAAAGTGGGGCCCGTGGGCCAAATTTGGCCCACCAATCCATTTGATTTGGTCCACCAGCATTTGACATAGTTACTAGTTTTTAACCTATTTAGATTAGATTTAACCACACGTAGATTTGCACACTTCAGAAGGCCATATGAATGTCAGCACCGCAGGCAGGAGCAGCAGCAACAAAGCTATTGTCAAAGGGCTTTCGCTCAGCCAGTGTTTGATATACTGAGCTGAAAATTGGTATACTGGTAGCTGAGAGTAAGCTCTGTCACATACTGGAGCTGAAACATCAAAAACAAGATAGCAGCCGAAGCAATTTTGGCCACTTTGGACTATTCTCATAACTCAGTCATTTTTTAATCTGTAAAGATAAAATTTGCTAAAGCAGTTGCTCAAACCTCAAAAACATGCTAAATACAGTACATCTTTAGGATGGCCACCAGAACATTGGTTACGTATTGTAACCCCAGATTCTATGAGCCCTCTAAGGCTATCGCTGATGGGTACCCCCCGCGCGCGCTCGCGCATTCTGAAGAACCAATAGTCTACGCCCACGTACTGTGGGCCTCACCTCGGTCCGTGTAAAAGGGGAGGACAGACCTGAGTTCAGCTCCCAATAGCTTACTTTTTCTTCAGCTACGGAAGCCGGTGAGGCCCTGATCCTTAGAGGGCTGCGCTTACACTCATAGAATCTGGTGTTACAATACGTAACCAACGTTCTATTTCGTGTAAGCTCCGCCCTCTAAGGCTATCGCTGATGGGTATTAGAGGCGGAGCCTGATGTAGTCTACGTCCCACCAGCTTGACATACTCGTGAAGCTTCCACCCAAAACACCCCTTGTGATGTTGCATAAGCAAAAGGCAGCAGCAACAGCTGATTCACATAGTGAACAGATTTGCATGAGCCCCTGTGTCCATCACATGATCCAGATGATGTGAAGAAGAGACAGCACACTGTATGTGCAGTATCACTTCAAGCACAAAAGTCATTATTTGTCCAATAATTTAAGACAAAATGTATTACTCTGACAAGGTCCTGAGAACAGAGTGAGTCAGAGAAGGGCCCGAAACATCCCGTAGATAAAAAACGGATGAAGGGGCAAGGGGATGACCAGGAGGCTGCAGAGCAAATATCCTGAATTGATACTCAACTGTACAAGGCAGTGGAGGAAGAGATCCCCCTTATGGAATGAGCTGACAATACAGCTGGAGGCTGCAGACCTGATGAGATGTAAGCCTGCAAAATAGCCTCACAAATCCAATGTGGCAACCTCTGAGAAGACAAGGTTGTCCTGCAAACTGCTCTCTGTAGTGAAAAAACAAACACTGAGAGCGCCTGATCTGTGCCGTGCATGACACATAACACGAGAGTGCGCGTACGGGGCATAGCATGTGAGAAACTGCTTCGGACAGAACCCGCTCAGAGTGATAACTCTGGAGCTGTAAGAGCTTGTGATGCTCTTAGACATAAAAACCGGGTTAGGACGCAAAGTCGCAGAGCCGCCATCCTCCCGTGTCCTGAGACAGGAGGGAGACACTGACAGAGCAGACAGCTCGCTGACTCTCTTTGCTGATGTTAGCGCTAACAGCAGGGCTGTTTTTATTAGGCAAAAGCTTTAGTGAGACCTGATCCAAAGGCTCAAAAGGAGCTTTAGCCAAAGCGCGTAGCACCAGTGTTAAATCCCACTGTGGTACGAATGTGCGTGTGATAGGTCTGTACCTGCGCACTCCCTTTAGGAACCGCTTTACCGGTAACGGATGATTGAAAACCGTCCTGTCACCAAAACCCTCGTGACAGGAGGAAATCGCCGCAGCATACGTCTTAACGGTGCTGAAGGCTAAACCTCTGTCCMTTAACATCTGTAGGAAGAACAGAATGCAGGACAAGGAGCAGGAGACTGGGTCTGCAGTTTTTCTACACACCAGCGCTGAAAAGATGACCACTTGGCTGCGTATGATGAGACTGTGGATGCTGCGCGCATCCTGGATGGTGCGCACCACATCAGCAGATAAACCCAGGTTTACTAAGCGTTCCCGTTCAGCGGCCAGGCCCAGAGGGGCTGGCCCAGTCTCGGGAAGCTCCTGATCGCTCCTCCCGCCTGCAGGAGAGCGTCCTCCTGCCAGGGGAGTTGGAGCGGGAGGCCTGACAGTACTGACTGGAGGAACCGGGAACCAGTGCGCTCCCATGCACTCCGGAGCGATCAGAATAGCCCGCCGACGGTCTGCTCTGATCCGGTCCAGTAGTCGCGGGATCAGAGGGACAGGAGGGAAGGCATAAAGCAACTTGTCCGACCAAGGATGGTGCGCAAAGGCGTCCACTCCCAGAGGAGGGTTGTCCCGGGAGCTCAGGGAGAACCAGAGGTCGCACTGTGCGTTCTCTCTGCTGGCGAACAA